TGTAAAATCTCTTAAGAGATCTTAAGAGATTATTACAGAGTATAACTATCTATGGAGGTCACATTTTCGGAAGACAAGCAATATTTCAGATTTATTGCTATAACCGTCAATTTTTGGTAAAAAAAGAATATATTATATTTCGATGAGTTGTTTACAATGTATTTATTGTGAAATATTTATCTCATACGAAGGGTTGTTATCCCTTTAAATCGAATAGAATTTAATTGCATTTAAAATCAAATAAAATTCCCCAAGACTCCCAGATGTCAAATCGGAATCCTTCATATTGCTTCAAATGTAAATAAAACGATGTTGTATTTTAGTCGCGTATACATTTGTGGAACAATATACCTGACAGCCGAATGCGACAGGAGACCTTTTAATCTGGTGATTTACACATGCATCTCTCTATACAGGGGTTTCGATATTTACATCATTATGCCTGATGGTCTTATGAAATGCTGTGTTGATGCTCCTATTCCGGCAATCGCAACTGAAGCAATCAAAGGAATGGCTCGGCTTGTAAAAAGAATGTTTGGGTATTGCAAATGTCATCACCATTTGGTTGTCTGTAAGTCACGGCCATCGCTACCCCATATTTTATGTCACGCAATATGTTCCAGTTCTAGTCTGGATTTTTGACACGTGTAGGACATATCATTGGTATCATGGAATGGCATCAGTCATTGGAATGATGTTTTAATTGATTTTCTATTCTATTGAAATGAATGAAATAGAGATATAGAGATACAGACAAACATATGTTTAAATTTTAAAAACATATTTGTCGTTTCAATGAAAATAATATTTTATTGCAGCTGAAGATGGAATTCTTGAATATGCCTCATTCGTATACAGACATTTATGTCTTTCTTTTACCCTTTTAAGTACTTTCACGCGCACTGGCATACTGGCAATCTAAGTATTGTATTATGTAAGAATGGTTATAACAGAACACGGGGAAGATCGATATACTTTTTAGGTACTTTTTAGGTACTCAACTGCTAGATCGATCCTTACCTTCACATTCGGATTATAACATTTGAATATCTTAGTAAATTTATGTTGTCTTTTATTGTAGTTAAGCAGTAGCGTTAAAGCCATATAACCTTTTCTCTAACTGTAGGTGGTTGTGTCATTTGTCCCCATTGGTTTAAAGTCTTTTCACATGCTCAACCAAGACCTTAATTGATTTGTTTACCCAATAGTAATAGAGGAAACTGAGTCATTTGCACGGCAAGTTTGAGTTTAGGGACATCAGTATGTGCATTGATTCCTTCAGTGTTGTAGAGCTGGTAAATTTAGTGCCATGGATGTCAGAAGCCTGAAACGCGACAATCATTAGATAGAAATATTCTTTAATTAGAGACTTAATTATACCAGCTAAACACGTTTCGGTCCATCAGCTATTGGACTTGGTCACGTGAATGGTTATTTAGTTTCTAAATAAAGAATGATTTTGTTTTATTATCGAGTGGCCACGAGAGACGTCTTTCATAGAACACATCGATTGTGAGCAAAACATGGTGTAATATTTGTTATCCCCCCCCTAGTCACGGGTACAGTGGCGGATTAAGAGGGGGGGTCAGGGGGTCCTTCGGTTTCTGAAAAACGTATCGCACCAATATTCCCCTCTTGAACCGTACCTAAACCGTACCAAAAAAGCACCGTTTGCTCTCCAAATCACCAAAAAAATTTTGGACCCCACACCAAGGGGGCGATGGTCAGCTTCGCATCCGAGGCCTGTCGTTCAGGGCCCCCTCTTCAAATAACACTAGCTTCGCCCCTGCGTGTATATTTGACGCTATAATCAGTTTGTCTTTATAGGTCGACACCCACACCTTTATATGAAGTATTTGTTGTCATGAATGATAAAACGGCGTGCTCATTGACCTCTCAATTGCCATTTAAGGACAATGTAGTGGTAATTGCTGCCAATTCCAAACAATAGTGACTACCCACTGTTGTAGGTATTGGCTTCTTTTCTGGTCTGATTTCAAAACACCGTGGATAATACGTGCTTTCTCCTAACTTTAAAAAGTCCATTAGCCGATAGGATTTTAAATAATCAGTAAGTTCAAGATACAAAGGAAATATGCAATTTGGCTTTCGCATATCATCAATTGAATAAATATGGGACCAATTACCGTCTTGTTGAGAAGGAAGGCAGCTGCCAAAAAGACTTTAGTGTTTTATTGACTGATTAAAATCTGCAACCTTCAATCACGTCAGAGAAAGTAGACACAAACAAAGCCTTCTGATTTATCAATGAGACAATCAGTTAAATGGAAAATACCGATAGCATTTCTGAAGACAATAGGTATCTAAGCAAGTTCCTTTGAATAGCTGAAATGATTATGCACACATATCAGTTTACATTTCTAGATTATATGAAACTCATTCGCCTGATATTAACTAAAACATAGAAAAAGGATTCTGAAGTTAAATTTGCGCCATGACACTGAAGCAGTGCATAAATACCGCGTTTATCATGTTCTGTATGGCGCTCCATTTGGTTAGCGCTGGTTTTTACCGTTCGGAGAATTTTCGGGTACAAAAAGGAGTTCGCTTAGAGAACGGGGCACCGGCTGTGGTACACACTGTACGCTCTAAAATAGACTGCTCAAAGAGGTGTCTCTCTCTTGGTCCTGTAGGGTGTACATCTGTCAACTACAGTCCAGTAAACGGGACGTGTGAAATAAATGACAAAACAATCCACGATGGCGCTGGGACAGTGCTGGAGGTAAACAGCGACTGGGAGTTTTTAGATACTGGCAAAGGTGAGGTCTTATATGACGTCACGGTTTGGTTAATTACACCCATAAACCGTTATTTTTAGACTTTTTAATTATTTGTAAAGTGCATTGAAATGTAAAAAATGGAATGCGCTATATAAGAAATAAATATTTTTATTATTATTATTATTGTTTGCCAATTTGTTCAATTTACCCTCACGCTTACGTGACCAAATTGAAAAAGATAAAAGCTGGATATGTTTCTTAAATTTAACTGCATACCGTGCATATACATGATAAGGTGGGGTAGGGGGGTCTGTTAGTTGATTGGACGATTACAATTGTGTTGGTTAACATCTTAAAAACATCATTGTGTCACTTTGAATTTTTCTTGCAGGTCCGCCACAAGCACCGACGATTATGTTCGTCAATATAACAGAGAACTCCACTGTTCAGATCACATGGATGGCTGGAGAGAATGGCGGCTTTGATCAAATCTTCACCATTGATGTAAAACTTCAGAATTCTGACGATAATTCGTACGTCACCAAACTGTCCGTGTCCGATCCTGGGCATCGAAATAGTATGACGTCACATGTATCCAATCTGACCGAGGGGTTTCAATACACATTGAGATTGACGGCAACAAGTACTCGGCCAGTCGGGGTGAATAGAGCATCCGCAACAGTTGTAATCTCGCTCCTTTCAGACGGTATGCTTGGGTGTATTTTCGCTAAAATTCTCAATTAACTGTGTGATTTTAGAGACTGGGAACACATTTTGCAAGTTTGATTTCTATAAAGATAAGACATCAGTTTGATTTGTCTGGTAACTGAGCAATAATATTCTTTTATAA